TGGTCGAACATCATCGGGGACGATCTCGTAAAACAAATCGCGAGTTTCTTTTTCCGGTATCGGCTCGCAAAGTACGGTCATCATACTTGAAAACGGCGTATATCTATCGTCGCGCATATAGGTGAAATATTTTGCGGCTTCGTAAAGGTGTTAAGGAACCGTCCCGAGAATATCATTCGCCCTAGTGGGGTAGTTTCTCTCTCTTTCACTCGTGCTCTTCTTCACCTCTGCCTCTCGATCGTTCGTAAGGGTTACCGCCATCGTTTGTTCGTTCGTGGGGTGCAAGGCGCGGGGCTTAAGTTGGGTGCGATCTCTTATCGACGCTACGAGCAGCGCGAGTCTACCCACGTTTCCCTTATCTTTCTCGCTTCTCCTCCCTGTGGAACTTACAACCCTACTCATACATACGTATGATACATATTGTCGTTTGAATGTACGCCGGTAGTAGCGAGAGTTCGCTTATGAATGGTCGCTATCGACTGTCGTCGTCCATGTTGTCGACGTCGTCGTTGTCGTTGCCCCGATGACGTTTTCATCGTTTTTCCATGTGGATCTCGCGTGATCCACATGATCCTTTCCCACAGATAACCCTCGACGTTTCTCCTCGATGTTACTTGCACGATGATCGATTCTCGCTCGTACGTATGTTCGTTCTCGAGTCTCAACGATCGGTTCGGACTCCCGAACGTCGTAAATCGAACGAACGGCGATCGATTAATCATCGTCGTACGTTCTTTCGTTTTCGACTCGGATTTACGGAAGCGAAACTTCGAGCTCACGATTGTTTTAGGATCGATTGTACTAGCAGGTGCGCGATATGTCGAAAGGGCGAGCTAGATGAACGCGGGATGTGATCTGAGGGCGATGTCTTCCATGGATGTCGATCGTTTCGCGCGCTGTATATATAGAGGAGGGAGTAAATGGCATAAGAAGCGATTGAAAGCTTACGTACGTGTTTCAGAGGGAATTTATATTTTTATGTAAGGAGGTACCGTTTGTTCGTCTTTATTGGTGCAGTTACTTGCTTACAGTCGCATATTTATAATTCCTCGTGATATTGTCTATTAAAGTTTATTGCGAAAGACATTGGTTTGTTTTTGTTTAAATGCAGCTTTATAATATATTATTATGTGTGATTTCCGCTTGTTTTTTATATTCTTTCTTTATACATTTATATCTTATGATTGTTCGTTGCTATAACAAATATTGAAGGTTTCAATTCACTACATTAAAAATTCTTGAATGGTGTAAAAAGTAGATATATATGTATATTATGTGCTGTGTTTTCATACAGTACTTTTTTCATATGTTACATCATAAAAGAATTGTAACATCCTTTATCATGACTTAAGGATTAAGAAAACGTGTGACGCGAACTTCTATTTCCAATTTAAAACATTGTTTCTCTATACAATTTTTGTACTTTTCTTAAGAAGCATGAAACAAAAATAAAATTTACAATAATTGTACTAATTTTGACATCAATATGTTACGTTGATTATATAAATTGTATAGTCATAGCGAAGCAACTGAAACACACATAAAGTTTCTGTTATCTTTAAAATGACGATATCACTCGTTTCCAAAATCGCTTTGTTAAAACTAAATATTGCTCTTTTTCAAGTTTGAAGCAAGAAGCTTGTTGATCCGAATCCGACTGTAGGAACGTGCATACTTACCAAACTATCGTCTGTTCTCTATAGCCAACCGCTTCGAAAAACTCAGTCAGCCGGACGACCTGAAGTAGCGAAAGTTTTCCAAAACTCCAACGGCATAGCCGGGAACGAGCGAGATTGAAATACATTCGATTCACTTCTCCTTTTTCTCCTCTTTCTCGCTCGCTTCCTTCGTTTTTCGCGTCAGGATTCGTTGCCTTTATCCCGGTGCTCTATGTCGGATTTGTAATTCGGCAACTCAGAGACCGAGCCTGACGTTGAGTTCAAAAGCAGATAAAGTTAAAACGTGGCTGTGTATGTAAGTAAGGACTAATTTACACGGTCAATTTTAATGATTATAGAATTCCAGATGAAAATCATTCAAAGTAAAAAAGGCCATTGATCGTATAAAGTGGAAGAACTTTAATTCCCTTTAAATTACTAGCTTTGAATCTTATTTTATCGTAATTTACTCTAAACAAAGTTAAAAGCTCTTTATCTCTCTTTCTCTTTGTTTTTTTATTTATTATACATGCATATACTATACAACACTGAATCTATATTTCAACAATATTTATAATTTACTTAAATGTAATATAAATAATATAAGAGGTTTGAGATAAAAGAAAGAGTATAACGTTTTTATTTTTTTATCTTTATAAGGACTTATATATTATACAAATCTATCTCAATTTTAAGCATCTGCACAGTATGCGTATTCTTTTTCAACAATTAAATATTTGTTGTAACTCACTACTTACTCGAGTTTAATAGCATGTCTATTTTATATAAAAGACTAAAACATTTTAAGAAATTTCCTCAAATAATATAAAATGTGCCCGCATACTATCTTTTTGTAAACAAGCAGAAAATATAGTACAAATAATATCTAAAACAGGTCCAATTTGTACAATATTTTCATTTATTGTGTAATTATCCGCGATGAATTGTCCAGGGGGGAAACCGTGTAAACATTTCATCCCAAGTGACTAACGTGTAGTAAAGCGTTGGAAAGCTTCCTTTTGCTAGAGTCCTAGATATCAGAGAAGCGCAACCGGCTTAAGTCAGTATCGCAAAATTACTAAGAAAAGTATTAAAAATGGCGTCTTTTGCAGACGAAATATGAAATCCACCAATCGTCTATTAGTCAGCCATTTTTAATACCACTGAATGAATGTCATGATTGGCTGACAGTCAGCTAATCAGGACGCGGAACATCGGTTGCGCTTCTCTGATATCTAGGACTCTAGCTTTTGCGGCTTATTATATTACAGGGTTGCGCAACTCAAATTTTATGTATAATAATATATTTACATGTGTGTGTGTATACAAAACAAACTATCAGTTTTACATTTAATTAAAGTGAATTGAGTCGCTTTATCTCAACTTTGTTTCAGCTTTTGTTAATAATCAAGTTATAAATTTGATAAACACGAATGAATTTTAAATTGCTCATGGACTAATTTTAACTAAGATTATATATTATGGTATTTGTATGTGCACAAATTAAAAATTTTTATCTCTGCTTAATATTATGTTTTTTTATCTTAAATTATGTGTATTAAAAGTTTTATTATATAACAGTAATGAGAACTAATGAAATAGTATTTTTATAATAGACAACGAGAAATTATGTTATATAATAAATACTGAAGACAAAAAAATTAAAATAATATAAGAGTATATAACAAAAAATAATATGTGCGTAATAGGCTTGCACGTTGACAGGGATGCAAGTGTTTTAATTCTGCTTATCTCTTCTTTCGCTAAGTGAAGAGTGCAAGACGAATACGTGCGAAAGATTTTGTCTCTTTTGGAAAAGAGCTTGTATGAAGCATTTCAGAGGTGCAATGCATCTCGCAACTACATCAGTCCCTGAGGAATACGAGGGCGCGTAAATCCGTAAATCGGCTTATTACACATCGCAGCTCCCCTTGGCAATTTTTGCATGAAGGACCCATCAGATTGTTATCGTTGAAGTGAAGAAGATAAAAAACGAAGCTACTACCACACTATGCTTCGTAAAATGAGGAACAGGACAGGCTGTTATATTTATGAAAACTAATAAAATTTAAGCTTTTAATCTCCGTTAAAAGAAAATTACGCAACATATAATTGCGAAAATATCAATCTTTCATATTTATATTTTTAAAATTTAGGATGACAGAAAAGGTATTTTGTTCTCAATTTTTTGTTTGATCATGATCCTACTGTGCACCTACTAAGATGATTAATTGAAAAATTATCAACAACTGCACGCTTTATAAATTTCTATTAATTAATTTGTTGGCTTTTGTGGTGGGTTTCGAATATTTCGTAGAATTAATCTAGTTGAGCATGCCATCCAGGATGTGGCTATGAAAGTGCCGCTGCAAGGGTTACATGAGGGCCTCAAGGGTTGCAACTCATAGAATTCGAAAGTTTAGATTGCACCTCCGTGCCTTGGTCCCGACCAATTGGTTTAGTAGTTTCGACCAGTATAACAATGGCGGAAAATGTCGAAATCAGGACGTACTGGTCATAGGAGCGATCTTGAGACATCTCAAACAAACTTTGTTCTGTTTGCTTCAGTAAAAACATTAACATTACAGAATATACGTATATATTGTATTGTAACAAGTACTGTTTAACTTGTCTTCGGAGAATTATAAAAATAATTTTTGGATTTTTTGTTCTTCACAAATAACAAATTAAATTTTCTAATAAGAGTTTTTTAATAAGTAAGATTTTTAAATATTGTATTTTAGATTTGAATACATACTTATGTATATCAATAAATATTAAAAATAATTCTTTAATTACACATAACAATCAAAAAGTTAATATAAACAATTTAATAAATGTATTAATAATGTAACAACGATAAATATTTTCAAGTTAAAGCTACAAATTGTTTAAAATTAACCTTCTACAATAAATATTGAATTTTGCAATCGATTTTTTGATTACGAATTTTGGTAGATAAGTTTTTCAATTTGTAAAGAATAAGTAAAATTCAATTCATTTTCTATGATAGTAAAAACTCGTTTTTGGAGCTTTCACAAATGTGTAAGAATGTTTATGCAGTTTGGAACAATGCAAAAATCTGCACTAAAGTTCGTGGACTCAGGTTGCAGACAAAGGATAAAAATTTCACATTGCCGACGGAGGGTTAATGTTTGAAACTTTGGTGTTTGAATAAATCCAGTACAAGCTTTTATATCTTGAAATAATTTAACTTAAAAGTAGAATATGTTGTTTGTATTGCTGTTTTTCACAAACGTAAATCTCGTACCGTCAAAAATAAATATTTTTTTTATCTGAGTACGAAATTGATAGTGCGACTATTTACAAAGTAAAACCGCAATGTATTGTATACTAGGTATGTGTACCTACTGGCTAACCAAAATGTTTTGTTTTGTGTTGTGTATGTGTGTGTGTGTGTGTGTCTTATAAATTGTTTTTTTTTTTTAAAGTTGCGTTAAACTGTTTTAATATTTCCTTTCTTTACAAAAATGAGTTTAATGTGTATGCAGAATTTGATCAATTACATTTTTATAATTTGCAATATTGTAGTATGTATCCAAATTAATTTATTAAATTTTGTTATATATTATTCCTCTCCTTTCTACTATATTATAATAATTATCAAAAGACAATATGTTTTAGATAATTTTCTTTCTAATTTATTTCGTGTATTAAACTAACAGAAATTCTTTTTCTGTTGCAGGCTTAAGACAGCGCTCTACGGATTCTCCGAGAGGAGGTAAATTTTGTTTAATTAATCTATTTTTTAAGAAAAAAATGACCAATACAAACGAAAGTTCTTCCTTCGAATAATAATATGAAACTCTTGGAACAATTATGATCGCACGCTTTCTGATTTAATACCTAATATTATAATATTCTAAATGCAAATTCCGGAAAATAAGAGAAGAATTGAATTTTTTGGAAGAGTGAATAATATAACGATACGGTATTATATTATTATTTCGTTTATCAAGAATGTTTCTATCATTTGTGTCCTACAGATTATGTTTATGTTGCAATATTAATTACATTTATTATCACTGCATTAACGTGAAATAATAATATTATCATAATTATTATCGTAATAATGTTTATTATTCATCACGATTATCATGCCATCGATTGAACATGTAACCATGCGATTTACACCACCGCGCGCGTGGACTGTGTGCTACATCAAGCGTATGTAATCCGGTGCGCGTTAAAGAATACAGATATCGATTCGATTTAACAGACTCTATAGGCATAAAATTTAATTCGGAAATGCGTCCGCACGAAGTAGTAAAAGCGCGCGGACTAAACGCGAGTGCTAAAACTCATGATCGCTCGTACTACATTTCGGTGCGCTCATTAGCGTAATTAGCGTAAGCTATTCACGTTCTGCGGGCCCAGGTGGACTGGGGACAAATGCTGGTATGTCACTTCATTAACTTGCGTACCATAGGACTCTGAAATAAAAATATTAAATCGTGATTAAAGCATCGTTAAATTCGATTCTCGTAACTTTATCGCATCACTCTCGATCGAACGCACGCGGGATGTACATCATATTTCGCAATTGAACATCAATTCTACAAATCTTTTAATTGCATTTTCTAACTACGAGGGAATAGCACAATCGCTATTGTGTATTTTGAGCCGTTTCTCTCTCTCTCTCTCTCTCTGCATCATAATTCCGCGCAGAATCCGCTTTAAAAGCAGTACCACGCTTTGCAATCGCACGTTACAGCACGAAATGACGCGTTCGAAGAGAATGTGTTATGGATTTTGTGACGAGCCCTGTGAGTGTTTTATCGGTACATTACGCCTGTACAAGCGGCCGTTTGCGTTTTACGGTCAGTCAGGGGTTCACAGAAGAAAATTGAAGCGGGGTGTTAGCGGCTTTTCGCGTGTTTGTTTCGGTGCAGTCGTCGAAGTTATCTCCACTCATCGTTAAAACGCGCCAATTTTTCAACTTTCGACCGTGCTGTGTTCATAACTCTAAAAAATACACTATTGCTGTAGGTGCGGCACGCGAATTATTTCCGATGAGTTTCAGTTTGATTTTTATTTGGATTCGTGACATTACTCTTTCACGAAAACAATTGGGTTCGATCCACACGCGTGTAAACATGTTCTCTACTTCAACCCTAATTCAGATTGCTATTAATCGAATTGCCGATTTTTATATCCCTTTTTTTCTGATTGTGCAATTGTACTCGACGTAGACGAATTTAATTTATAGCTTTCGCGCATAGATATATAATCAAGTTCGTGCCATTTTTCTGTACGATAGATATATTTAGATACCGATAAAATGAAATGGGATAAAAACGACTTTTAATTTTATTCAAACGTTAATGACATTATAGTTGTGATTGTATTATATGATCTAGGAATTTATGGAAAGTTAGATTTTTTTCTAATTATGTCTCAAAATAACAGCTAAGAAAAAATGAGCGCAATTTTATCACGATGTGATTGACAAAAGACGCTCCTTCCTTACCATACACGTTTTTCATGAGCGGCAATTTATAGTAATGTAGCGCGTGACATTATTCAAATTGAATCGTTCGTACCGATTCGTAGTCATTCACCGTTCGTTCTCGATAACGTTATTTCGCTGATTTTTCGAGTCGCGAACTCGCGTTGCGCTGGAAATTCGCTATTTATCGGAGAGGACCAGAACGTCTCTGGCGCGAGTCGTTAAAAAGTAATGTATTCTGTTAGCGGCACGGAATACCGACGAGAAAGAGAGGAAGGAGGGATCCTTTTATACCAGCGGCTCGTACGGATGTTTTCGTCAAAGGACACGCATACCGTATCTTCCCTGTAGCTGCTCAGAAGAGGGTGGAAATCTCTTGAGCTTGGGTCGCTCTTGCTCTCTTATGGAAAGCTAAATTGCCCCCCCCGTCTTCTCCGACGACACCGCTGAATTTTTAGTTCGTTTCTGAAGTGTTCCGCTATCACGTTCATTTGCGCGGTCGCGATGCCATCGTAGATGTCTGACGAATCAGACGCTTAGCTTAACTGAATATTCGATATTTCCTAGAGTGTAAGAGAAGCTCTCTGTATATATAGAGGAATTGTTGCTTAAAGTGATGATTATATTCACATATTCATTGTAAATTTTTATATCTAAAATAGGATAAGAGAAAAGATATATTTATATATTGTATAATAAAATTATATTTGTTTGTTTTCTTTCCAAACTTAGAAAAAAATAGTTTTATTTTTAATAGAACGTATTATTTCTATATTTAAAAAAATCGCATTTATGATGTATGCAATAACTATTGAAAAAAATATCGACATAAACTTCTTATCATTTAAAACATTATTATATTTAAATGATATTGATAGATATCAACTTTTCTGATAAACACAAGTATATTGGAAGAATATATCGGAAAGTTAAATATCTATAATGTATGTATCAGTATCTTTTAGTACCTTTATCGTATACATCATAAACATGATTTTTTTTAAACCACAAACGATTCAAATATTACTGAAATATTGACATCTTCAAAAAGTACAGAAGTAATACGTCCTTAAAAAATTAATATTGTTCTCATCGTATTCTATTTTAATTGACTTAGTAACGGGCTTAATTTAGTCTATTCTGTAACAGTGTGCAAAGTGCTTTTAAACGACCTTTATCTCGTTCGTATTTATTCGTAATTCATCTTTTTCGCGCCGTAGCCTTCACTACAGCGTAATATTTTATTCAAATTCGCAGTAAGATGTTATCTGTGAACACCAAACGCGGAGATAAATTCTGTTGAGTGCGCGATCGATTCATTCGCTGGCAGAACGGCTTAATTTAAACAGCAGTGACGGGAGTCTCCTGCGTAATTACCGTTGCAACTGAGGTTTTGTTTTGTACCTATATACAAGATCGTATGCGACATAAGGTGTGCAAACGTCATACTCGTTTCTGATGCGAACGTTCAGTCTTTGCTGTAATTAAGACTGAACGATATGTACTTATCGCTTTGCGAAAGTTGAGATGGTTTCGCCAGAAGCAATGACGGTACACTTGAGAATTTTTCAAAGACTTTTTCCCCGATTTCAATCGAAAGTTCTGATATGTATTTTAAGACGAGAGGATTGCGAATTTTCCAAATTCATCTTATTTTTTCATGATTTTTTTCTTTTAAATGTTCATACTCGGTATAAATGTTAGTTTATGTAAAAACGAGAAAAAGTTATGCTTCCATTTTACTCTTTCAGAAGAAAATATTATTCTTAAAAGTTGAATTTAGGTTTCTCACAGCTGCCGAATTTCTGTCGTCGCATAAAATTCAGAGATCTTCACTTGAATTGCCCTAATAACGCTATTCAGCTACATTCTATTTTCGCTAAGACCTTTGACGATTCGTTTCGTGTGTTCGCACGCTGTATACCTAAGAGACTTGAGTCGCCGCTTTTCACGGTGGGTAACGTTTGAATCTAACGCTCGTATCTAATTCTGTTTAGCGAAGTGACCGAGATACGTTGACGGCGCGACGCCGCACATCGTGCCGTGTCACACCACGTCGTAGCGTTCCCGCTTGCGGGAAAGTTTAAATTATCCTGTCCGCTGGGAGGAAGCATCTCTCTTCTCCGCGGGGAAACGACTCGGATTGGTCGAGTCTGATTAGTTTGGTGGTCTCATGCCCGTTTTATCCCTACTTTACTCTCCAATCTATCTCTATTTCTTTCTCTGCTTCTCTCTCTCTCTCTCTCTTTCTCTCTTTCTTAATACTTAATTTTCTTCAGTATTCACTTTCAACAACCTCAGATTTTACTTAATAGATTTAAACTCAAGCGTGATAAAATTGTAAGACACAAAGGCACAAAATGACTAATCATTTTGTGCTGTGTATATAGAATTTTATAAAAGATCGTTTACTTATATGGCAATATGACTATGGAATAAAATTTCTTTGAAGATTCGAAATGATCCGTTTTTGAACGCACATTCAAGAGTATTTTTCGTTTTGATTATTATGATTAATAATAATTCTTTTGCTGTTGAATATTTATACATTGTTTATTCTTTTTTATGTATATTTATAATTTCTTTATTAATAATGCTGAAATTTTACTGTTGTACTTTGTGCCTCAAATTTAATCTATTATATAATATATTTTAAGGGAACACTAAAACGTATAATAAATATTTCATTTGTATTCTATATATGTAAATGAGATACTATTCTATTTTATTCTCTCTCTCTCTCTCTCTCTCTTTTTTTATTTTTTTCTGCTATCGTTCTCTCTACAGTTTGGTAATTAATACGTCAGACTAAAGAGATTGGCAATAGTGCATTCAATGAAGATGTTGCTACAGCTTTCCTTTTCTTCGGACTAATCAGAAATTGTCAGATCTGATACTATGATTCACTTTGAATTTCCTCAGCTTCTTTCTCCTCTTTCGTCTTTTTTTTTTCTTTACGCAGATCTTCTCTTCCTTTTAATACAGAAGCATCGTACCGCGTAGCTACGGAATAACGATGTTCCTTGCTTTCTGTTTAATCAAACCTCTTCGACTAACATCGCGATGGTTTCGGAAACCCGTATCAATTCACATAATGAACGCCCGGAAGGTGTAGAAGCGGCTTTATGGGATCTCGAACCCGTCTCCCGAGAGACGCGGTCGGCTTGGTTTAATCAGCTGGCGGATATTCCTACGATATACACAGCAAATTCCAAATCTAGTCTCCAAAGTAGCGGAGTATAATGCAAATGGAATTTCTCCAAGTCATCGGA